AGAGTGTACTTTCATTGCGTTAATCCGTCGGGATGCCTGTCAGTAGTGCTTTCTCTGTCTAGCCGTCGAAAGCCTCTAGAAATTTGATGAACTGTAATACTCAGTTATATCACTCGTTTAATAATGAATGCTTACTTACTTCAGCTTTTCATCTACTTATATACATATTTACACTTATACTGAAACTTGATGAATAAAGACGATTTATTACTTATTATTAATATTATTATTATTATTATTATTATAGTTTTTTATTTAATAATTTATTTATTGGCCTGCATTTCTAATATTGGTAACAAGACTAATACTAGAGGCAGCACCTGACGGGTACTTCTATTTAATCTCATTTTAAAAGGACTTCTCACGCCCTTAAAAGCCAACCCTGTGCTTTATTTACTCCTTGCCTGCGGTGTGAAGTCTAGCGGCGCTGGCAATATAGAGACAAACAGACTGCTCCGAGAAACTAGGACCATTATACGACCAACAACCATAAATAACCATAAGAGGCTTCTACCAACAAGATTACGACTGCGGACTGCCACAGGTGAAAGTACCAACATCCATGGATAAATCCAGGTTCAATTGGGAATTGGTACAAAAAGTTAACTCATACTGTTATTATCGCTTATATCGAAGAAGATGGATGTAATAAACTAACATGGTTTCCAGTTAGATTTTAAGAACAGAGTGATCAAAGTTGGTGCAGAAGAGGCATTCCTACATACTTATGGGGACAGTACCGTGCCAGTTGCGGTACAGAAGGATACGGTGGTACCTGGCAAAAGCGAAACCGTTATAGTAGCACGGCTTCAAGAAACTATGGAATAAGGAACACCTGTAATGATGGAACCTTGGAACCACGATGAAGAGGTTGGACGAGGAATTCTGATTGAAAAGGGGTTGGTCACGACTGCTAAAGAGATTCCAGTTCGTCTTATAAACGTTAATGATCACCCATCAAGAAAGAGACCAGAATCGGAACTTCTGTACCAGTAACTTCCATAATTCGTCAAACAACAATAATTCCAACCACGAATTTGAGCAAATGATTGCAGTTCCTTTATAATCTCTGAATCAATTAGAGAAAAAGAAAATTAAAGAATTTCTTCGACGATATCCTGACATTTTTGTACCAAAATGAGGAAAAACAGGAATAACTTCTGTTGTAAAACACAAAATTGACACTGGTAATGCCAGGCCGATTCGTCAATCAGCTCGAAGATTACCAAAGGCCAAGAAAGAGGAAGCTGAAAGGATTGTTCGAGAAATGGAGGAAGACAGGGTGATAGAACCATCTACCAGCATATGGGTCTCTTCAGTAGTCCTGGTCCGGAAAAAGGATGGAACTACAAGGTTCTGTGTGGATTACCGTCAGTTTAACAATGTTACCAAAAAAGATAGTTATCGACGATACCTTGGACACATTGGCCGAGAGTAAACTATTCTCTACCTTGAAGTCTGGATACTGGCAGGTGGAAATGGACCCAGTAGATAAAGAAAAGACCGCTTTTAGCACTGGATCTGTTTTGTGGCAATTCAATGTCATGCCATTTGGACTATGTAATGCCCCTGCGACATTTGAAAGACTTATGGAAAATTTATTGAGAAAGTTATCCTGGAAAACATGCCTGGTGTATTTAGTCTACATCACAGTCTTGAGGAAAACCTTTGATGAACATTTAAAGAACTTAGAAGATGTTTCTAAAAGACTGTAAACTGTCCAACTAATGCTAAACCTCAAGAAATACCAACTATTTCAAAATAAAGTTAATAACCTGGGTCATATAGTCAGCAATGGTGGCGTGGCTGCAGATAAGGAAAATGTCGCTTCTATCAAAGAGTGGTCACATCCAACTGATAAACATAAAATAAGAAGTTTTCTTGGGCTATGTACGTACTATCGAAGATTCACAAAGAAGTTTGCAGATATGGCTAAACCACTAACGCGACTCACAGAATAAGCAAGCGAATTCTGCTGAACCAAAGACTGCCTTCGAAACTTGAAAGAAGCATTTAACAACAACGCCAATATTAGCCTACCTACTACCAGAGGCAGAATTTATCTTGGATACTAATGCCAGTAATGTGGGAATTGGATGAGTGCTTTCACAGATTCAGGAAGGGAAAGAAAGAGTACTAGGTTATTTTAGTAAAGTGCTCTCGAAAACCGAACGAAACTACTGCGTCACAAGGAGAGAACTCCTAGCAGTTGTAAAATGCGTGGAACACTTCTACCAATACCTGTACGGAACGAAATTTTTAATTCGGACCGATCCTTAAGTGACTGATGCTATTTAAGAACCCGGAGGGTCAAATCGCCAGATGGATTAAACGATTTTAAGAATACGGCTTTAAGGAGGTCCTTTCGCCACCAATGTTAAATGAAAATGAAAATGAAAATTTTTTGTGATTTTTTAATATTAATTTCTCAATAAGTTCCACGGTTTACTATATATATTTTATTGCATAAAACAAAATCTAAATATTTCAAAAACCTTATTTTTAGTTTTTTTCTACTCCATCTAATCAATAAATAATAGTATAATTCGAGAATTGTTGTTGAGGACTTACTTTCTCGTGAGGCACTGTACAAATACTCACATTTTTAAAAAAATTTGCAAAGTAAGGTATAGTTAAAAGTTCAGTATTAGATAAATAAGGACTTCAACTATTAGAAAAAAATTAATTTTAGTTATAATCTAATAACTTTTTTTTAACATTTGAGGCGAGAGGTGTGGCGAAAGGACCTCCTTAAGAATACGACTTTAAGAATACGACTTCAAGATTGATCATCGAGCGGGAATAAGTCACTGAAATTCCGATTCTCTCTCTAGAAGACCGTGTCCAGCAGAGTGCTCCCACTGCAACAAAGCGAAATCCAAAGAAAGTGGACTAAGAACAACTGTAGTCAACCATGAGTGGGCCCCTGTTAATATTAGGGAAAGAAGATGCGACAATGGAAAGAGGAAAATCGTAGACCTACTTAAGAAGTATCTAATCTCTCTCCAGTACTCAAGTCCTATTTGGCTCAGTGGGATTCCTTTATACTGGCAGATGGCTTATTAAAGCGATTACTTGAAAATGATGATGGTTGCGAGAACAGAAGACAGTTGGTCATTCTAAGGAGTAGAGTAGTCAAAGTACTTCGTGAATTACACGACAGTCCATCAGGAGGACATCTCGGTGTTAAAAAAACCCTTTAGAGTTCGGGAAAGGGTTTACTGGATAAACAATTTCGACGATGTAAGGGACTGGTGTAAGAAATGTACTACCTGTGCTATGAGTAATGGACCTCAACGAAAAATGAAGGCAACGTTGGTAGCCCATTTGAGAGGATCGCCTTAGATATTGCTGGAACATTCCCCATGACCGAGGATATTAATAAATACATTTTTGGTGATTAAGGATTATTTTACAAAGTGGGTGTAAATCTACGCCATTTCAACTGTTGAAGATGTGTTGATGAAAGAGTTTATCTGTCGATTTGGAGTGTTCTTGGAGATCCACAGTGACTAAGGCAGAAATATTGAAAGCCAACTTCTCCGTGGAATCTGTAACAAACTGGGCATGAATAAAACCAGAACCACAGCAGTGCACCCACAATCTGATGGAATGGTAGAGCAAATAAATAATACCATTAGCAAATATCTGTCAAAAGTGGTTTCAAACCATCAGCGCGATTGGGATCAGTATCTTTCGCTCTTTGTAACGGCGTGAGATGAGACTATCGTGCGACATTGAGTTTAATTGGCGACCTGGAGAAGATATGTAGCTGGTGAAGATAATGTGATCCAGTTACGAAGAAGAATGGACAGTATGCACGAATTGGTCTGCTCGCATCTTCAAATCGTCAGCGACAAATTGAAGAAGCAACACGATACCCAAGCCACAGAAGAATGTTTCCAAAAAGGCGACAAAGTCTGGCTCCATAACCCAAAAAGACAAAAAGGTTATTCTCCGAAGCTTCAAAGGTCTTGGGAAGGTCCGTATGTCATCAAGAAAAAAATAAATTATGTCATTTATAGTATAAGTAAGAAGTCGAACGGTAAACCAAAGGTAGAGCACCAAAACCGGCTGGCGCTATTTGAGGGTGACCATGAAGAGAAAGAAGAAGTAAAACAGCGACGCTGGCAATATAGAGACAAACGGACCGCTTCAAGAAACTACTGAATTGATCTCTTTGCGGCGTATGAGTCATAAAAAAGCAGTTTTCGATCGTTGTTTTGGAAAGCCTAAAGAGATATCGTACAGAGTATAAATAGCTCGAGTTGTTGACGAACGGACAGAATGAATTTAAGTGTTGGACCAAGAAGATAAATTAGAATTGAGAGTTATAATAGTACCTAAGTATTATATAAATTAATTAGTATGTCATAAATACATTTCGTGATTTAGGTTTTGTGGTTTTCCTAAATCATATTCCCCACCCTATACTTGGACTTGTCCATTTATGGGGTTGGAAATAGCAAAATTGGCGATATTTTTGGAGAACACAACCTGCCACACAGGTCCCACACGCGCACACGACACCATCAGGAAATAGCTAGAGCTAGGTTACTTTTGTAATCAGGGCAGATCACCCTGAAAAGAAGGATAACTCTTATACCAGGGAAATAGGAAATGTCCTAGAAAAATGTAAAACACTGAAAAAGTCAATAATAAACCAAAAAAAAATAAAATAAAATAAATTGTAAATAGTGTGGTTTAAATAAATAAACTAAATAAAGTAAACTATTATTACAATACATATTTTTAAAATTAACTTATGATTGATTTGAAAAGTTTAGCTACGATAAACAATTATTTAGAGATAGGACGATCATGTTGCACCAGAAGTTTATTACCGGATTACAAAGTTGTGACAAATTTTAGTAAATTTAATGTATTCCAAAAATGTCCGATAATAATCAGGTATATACCTATAAATACAAAGTGCCCTTTTAAATGTTCGTAGTTCTGATTTTCTAAACCATTTTGATTTTTTCACCTTAGGAAATCGGCTTCGTTTTAATTTGAAATAGTATAAGTAGGAGACATAAATTTATATTCTCGCGGCATAACTCGAAGTTCCAAAATAGATCACGACCCGCGAATTAGGTGTTTGACACAGTCTCCCGGGTTTTTGCATTCGAGTAAGTCGTTTTCATCATTTTTTTCTAGACTTGCGGTAAATACTTGTATGTATCAAATAAAAATTATTTACTAACTTTCGTTGAATTGTATTTTTAGATTTTACGATTTCAGTTTTAGATTTGTTTAACATTAGCGTGTAATAGCTTACATTTGAATAGATTCTTAACCTATACTAACCAGCCCTTAATTGGGTCATAATGATGATGATGTTGTTCACGAGATATTCTCATTTTTCACGCTGTCAACTTGGCTTAATAATTAATTAAATTTGCATCCGCGTAACTAGAAACTAAACGTTTTTGTTATAATTAAGTTTTCATTTTTAATTAAAATTTTACGTTTATAATTAACTATTTTAGTTAACTGCATTTTAAAACAGTAGTTACGTTTTCGCCCCCAATGTCATGTTTTACGGATTTTTCTTAGAAAATAAAAAAAAATATTTATTCTGCGAATTCATTAAAAGTTTTTATGTTTGGTTGCTGTGGTAAAAATATCAATTTATGAGAAGTGTTTTAAAAACGATGATTCATTTTTAACACCAGTGATAAAAATAAACTGTCACCAAAGAAATACTGTCATTTTTATGCAATTTTTTGTTTTGGAACAACACATCTTTTATATGATTTTATTTTAAAAATGACCTACTAAAATTGAAGACTTTATGGCAAAAACAGCACATGTCAAAAAACAGAAAACATGAGAAACCTGTCATTTTGTCGAAATATATTCCTATATTTCACCCAGTTTTTGCACAATGGATTTTTCACACTGTTTAGAAAAAATAATTATTTTTTCTTAACATTTTCAAAAAAAATTCGAGAGACGCTAAAATGGTGGTTCCCACCTTATTGAGACTGAGGCCTACAAGGCTAAACTCGTAGCATAACAAAAACGAGAAATGATTTAACTTGGAACGAAAGACCGAAAGCCGATAGTAGTATTAGGACGTTGAATTTTTTGGTTTGTGAAGCATTGGCATTAGGTAGGTTAAACCATGTGATAATTTCCATAAGCCTTGATTTTTAAAACTATTCTATATCGCCTTTTGATTAGGGTTTACAAACTTGTTTGAGCAATTTATCCAATATTAATTGGCCGCTTTACCTCTTAAGCCGGCTCATGTAAAATATTTGAGCTCCTTACTTCGCCTGTTTATATAATATTAATAAAGAACAGAAAGATGAGTATTGCAACTATGTCAAAAGAAATAAATTGGTTTTCATTTCAGAATTATGTTCAGTACATGACTGATATTTATTTATGAAATAAAAATAACAGTACCATCGCATCAGATCTATTAGAAAAAATTCAATATAATTCGAAATATCATAACTATAATACACGAAACCAATCTGACTTTCATGTACGGCAAGTTCCCAAAATACAATTTTTATTAAAGGTTTAAAAAATTTAATAGACTGCCTACAGAAATTAAAAAAATAAAACAAATGTATTCACAAGTATTACAAATTAAAAATTTAAAAAAACCGACTTCAAAAACGTGCAGATGTCACATCTTAACCAAATTTATATGGGACCACCCCTGAGGTACCCCCTTACTAACAAAAAAAGAATCGTATAAATCGGACAAGGTGGTAAAGCATTATCGCTAAACATACATAAAAAATGAAGAGTTTGAGGATTTTCTCATGAATCCAATTATTAGATTTAGCACAATATGGACAAAAAGTGTTAATAAGTGAAATGAAGATGTCGTGGTCCAAGTTGGTAGAGCGACAGAATGCATCGATGCGGCATCAGTTTTTCATTGGCTGTCAAAGTTGTAAGAGCTGTGACGTTGCAGGTTACGATAATCCTAATGCTAATGCAAAATATTAAAACTTTCTGCTTAAGACCCAACTCAACTCTTTTCTTAGGTTAGGAAACGATTTTTCATTCGAAGTAATACAAGATCTCACTTTAAATCTTCTAATGTCAAAAATTCGTAACACGATGAGTTTAATAAAACGTATGTCTCGAATTAGTACAGTAGCGTTTTAGCTTTTAAATACTATAAAAAATAGTGGAAAGTCCATAACTTTTAAATATTTGTTAAATATCACTAATATTAAAATATTATGCATTAAAAGTAAAATACCATTTTTTTACCGTACATTTTTTGTGACTTTTCATTGACAACGCGTTGAACTTGGACTTAAGAGTTTATTATTCTTGGTGTATAAAACCCTATGACGTCAAAAAAGAACAATTAATAACAATCTACAATTATTAAAACAACAGCTATCGACCAAATGCTTGAGGGGAACAGGGATAGCATGTGGAAGTTGCTCCAGATCTTCAAGCACCGTTCAAAAAGAACGTTCATTTAGAGTCAGAAACAGCTCTCTAGTAGTGCTCGCGAGTAACCCAAGTAATTTACTCCCTGGACCCCCTGAACGGAAAGCCTCCAACGGGGGTGAAAGTCACCACTAAAATCTTAAAGGAAAGAGGGGTCGAATGATATTTAGGTATTTTTACCTAGATTATAATCCCCGAGTTTTACATCGCTACAAAAGTACAAAACCGCTTTAACATAATTTTTACATTGTTAATAAAAAGAAATTTTTTGTAACAATTCCAGTTTCCAGAAATATATCTGGAATTATTAGAAAACGCCATTTATCCAGCATTACTAGAAGTGATTGAGAATGACCATTAGTACATAGCAAACAACTTAATATTCCAGCAAGACGGTGCGCCACCCCATTTTACACTGACTCTTCGTCAGTATTTGGATCAAACGTTTCCATGTCAATGGATCGGAAAAAAAGGAATTATTGAGACCGTGGGGGCTGGTCTCCGGATCTAATCCCGTTAGATTTTTTGTGTGGCCACTTAAAAACTAAAATTTATGTAACCCAGCCAACATCACTGGAAAATCTGCGACAACGGAGAATTGATGAATATCATCAAATTATGACTAGGAAGACAGTAGCTATTTAAAACTCGGTATAAATACTTTCAAAATAAGATATCATTTGACCATTCTTTTCATATAAGATTGTAGGGGTAAGTTTCGCCCCCGCTACAGGGTTTCCGATCAGAGGGTGAAATCAAAAAATGACCTGAGGTGCCAAACATTGGTTCTGTTTCGTTTTCAAATGTCTGTGTATATAGTATATATACAATACTTCATTATATGTGTATTAATAAATCATCAAAAATCCTCTTCTTAGTTAATAAATGTTTTATATTATGTTTCTATTTATTTCATTGGAACTCCCGTCTACAGATTCAATCCTCACATCTCCAGAAATTCGACATTTTTTTCATCAAATCAACGCTTAAAAATGGCTTTTAAAAACCCGAAGTGGGGTGTGGAGAGGGGAGAGCCCCCACTTCTCGCATAGAGGCCGGGCACCCAAAGCAATTTTTGAGTTCCGGCGCCTATGGCCAAGCATTATTCTGAGTTTTACCAAATAAAATGGCCGGTTAATTATTCTATAGGGTTGCGACAGAGAGCCAATAAATTTGATGAAGGTGTGCGAAATAGTAGTACGCTTAAGTTAGCACCACCATAAAAAAGTAATTTTTAAGAAATTGCTTATATATTTTTCATAAATTGGCAGGCTTGGCTACTAATTTCGAATAAAAATAGCCTCTAAAATGCTATGATTGCAAGTATAAAGGTCGCAACCCGCCTTAGAAATTTCACCTTTACTATCAACAGCTGTTGTTTGACAGGTAGTTAGAGAATGTTTGCAATTTATGGAATTTTAACCCTTAACTACTAGCTTCCTGTCAGTAATGTTACCTTCGTACCCATCAGAACTATCACTGCTAACAATGCTGCCTTCTATAAAATTTTCTATGTCACTTTAAGCGCCTTGTTCAAGCTCTTGTTGTGTTAAAGGCTTTTTATCACGATAACAACCGGCCATTTTGCATTATTAGCGCAACTCGATTTTGTAACACTTAAAACATGAGCGGGTGAAATTTGATCCTATACCCCGATAACTCCTCGGAGACTAAATCTTAACTAAAGGCGTTTCAGCGCATCGATAGACCAGCAACCGATTAAGGATTAGATGAAGGGGGACGTACCGCTTTCAATTCTTTATATGCAAAATTTACTGTGCAAAATGTGTAGGGTCAAATTTGACCCCGCCATGGTACTTAAGGGTTAAGAATGTTAAGAATGTTGACTTAGAAATAATTATTGAAATTCCTAAAATTGTAACATAAGAAATGCATATGCGGATTTTTAGAAAATTGATTATAAAGTAGTTAGGATGAACCGAAAATTCTAACTTAGAAGTAATTATTCAAGAAAATCAAAACCGCAAGTCAATCAGAACTTTCATTCTAGAGTTATCGTGCCGGCATACATACATACATACAGACGACCAGACGAAAATATTTTTTTTGCATTTTCGGACTCTGAATGATCGGAAACATGAAAAAAGTTTTAAAAAATGGGGGTAAGAAAATGCAATACTGAGGCACCGTAGGAAGGGCCTCAGTAAAAGTCGGAAATGTGCAGTTTTTGTGGAATTTTTTTAGCAGCTTAAGTTCAATGTGGATATTTTTACCGCAATATCAGTAAAATAAAACCGCATCAATCAGTAGCGCACCCAAGGGGGTTTTTTGGGGTTAAAACCCCCCGAAATTTTAAATTTACAAAGTGTAAACAGAACTTTTTGTTGTTAATGTCCCTACTCCTTAAGCTATCAGATAGGTAAAATCAGATAACCTCCCCCCCCCCCCCCCGAAAAACTTCTGGGTTCGCCACTGGCATCAGCAAACAAGTTCATAAAGCAAAATATGAAATAGGCAATAGTATAAAAAATATTGTTCATTAAAACGCAATTTTTGAATATACATGTCATAAAAATAAAAAAAAAATGTTTTTTTCTTCAGACAACTTCACACCCACTGCTAATGTCGTCTTCATCGATCTCGTCAACATTATAACAAGTGCTCTGGGTGCTTTCATTTTTTTCAAAAAACTTCTTCGTAAAAAAGTATATTTTCAGGTTTGTCGAGAAACCCAAGTAAAGTTTTAAAGTTGTTTATTTTTATAGGGGAAATTTTCACAGAA